TTTAAATTAGTGTCTAGCCGCCAAAAAGTAAGAAAACAAATGCAAAATCATACATTTTTCCCAATTTTCTAACACTTCGCTACACCAGAGCAAGCAAAATTCTGTTTGACAGAAAATGCGATATTCAACGAATATTTCGACAAGCTTGCATAGCTCATAATACGAATTTCACTTTCGATCTTCGATAGCCAGCTAGTGTCACATAAGTTATCTTACTTATGAACATTCATCAATAAATCAGTTGCATTCCTACAGTCGACAAGAGCACAAGTCTTTTGCATACTCTCAGCATTGTTGTGACATGGTGTCAGAAATGCTGTAAATCGCACTCACGTCTGGAAATTATCCGTTACATACACAAAGAAGAAAAAAAAAAAAAAAACACATACAAAACCGGTGACTTAGCACAAACTTAGTTTGGTTTAGCCGACAAGAAAAAAAAAAAAAAAAAAACTAAAATTAAAATTAAAAAATCGAGCGATTAAGAAAAAAGTGATCTACGCGCTAGTAATCTGTAACGAAAGTTGAACTCATAAAATGGCTAGCATTAAACCACCAAAGCCGTTGCTCGTCAACAACGATATAGACATGGCAAGCGAATGGTCCGATTGGATAGATGAGTACAATAACTATTTCATTGCCGCGAAAATAAACGCGGAAACGGCAGAAGTGCAAGTGGCAAACTTGCGAGCATCGTTAGGCAGAGATGCTAACAAAGTCTTAAAAAATTTGGGCTTAAGCAGTGAACAATTAAAAAATATAGAACACATTAAGAGAAAGTTAACCGAACATTTTGCGCCGCCTAAAAATAAAACGTACGAAAGATGCCAATTTCATCGCATCAAGCAGCAACCGAATGAATCATTCGAAGATTTTCTACAAAAACTCAGAGAGCAAGTAAGACATTGCTCCTACGGGGAAAATATGGATGAATTTATAATGGACCAAATAGTGCTAGGTATTTGTTCAGATGCCACGCGACAAAAGTTGTGGATCGAAGAAAATTTGACATTAGAAAAAACAAAAAAAATTTGCAGAGCTGCTGAGAGGGCGGGAAAACAAATATCAGAGCTTAGTAATGAAGCCAGCATCAACGCAATAAATGTTCGCGGAGACCGCGAGAAAGTCTTCCAGTGCAGTCGTTGCGGTTTGGAACATGGGCTTCGTTGTTGTCCGGCATTCGGAAAAGAGTGTCGTGCGTGTGGCTACAAAGGTCACTTTGAAAAAATGTGCAAAGCCAGAAATGAAAAAAAGAACAGGAATGGTAACAGAAACGTAAAAAAAGGTAAAGGCGCGAAATCTAAGAGAGTTCACGTACTACAACAAATGGATGATAGCGAAAGCTATGAAACGGAGAGCGAATGTGGAGATTTTAAGTACGTGAATGTTATACACACCTATAGGGAAAATAAACAATGCTACGGAAAATGGCATGCAATGGTTAAAGTTGGGTCGCATACGTTGAACCTTAAACTAGATACCGGTGCAGATTGTAATGTGCTTCCATTAAAAGAAGCAAAACGGTTAAGTGCTAAAATTGTAAACTCGGGCACAAAGCGGCTTGTTGCATATAATGAACAAACAATAAATGTAATCGGTGAAACAACATTACACTGTAAAGCACCGAAAAATAGTGCACGTGTCGTGTTTAAAATCGTGCGCGAAAATCTTCAACCTATACTGGGTCGCGAATGGTGTGAACAACTCGGTTTCATTGTACGTGTTAACGAATTAAAAAGCAACCATACACAAGTGGTTAGCAAAAACTCACAGACCTTAGGGTGTTGCAAAGACTTTAAGTACGACATTGATTTTATAGAGAATCCTAAGTTTAAGATTATTCCGGCCAGGAGAATTCCATATTCTTTGCGCGATGACGTAAAAAAAGAACTTAACAATATGGTAAAATTGAAAGTAATCGAACCAATAAGCGAACCAACACCTTCCGTCAGCCCAATGGTGATTGTAAAAAAGGGCACTAAAATCCGTATTTGTATGGATCCAACCGAGCTAAATAAAAATATTAAGCGCAGGCACTTCCCTTTAAAAACGGTGGAAGAAATAGCATCCAGAATTGCGGGCAGCAAATATTTCACAAAGCTTGACTGCCAAAAGGGGTTTTGGCAGTTAAAAGTGACAGACAGAACATCAAAATATCTTACATTCGCTACGCCATGGGGTCGTTTTAGATATTTACGCTTGCCATTTGGGATATCGTCGGCACCTGAAGTGTTTTCTGAAGTAATGAGTCGAACGTTAGAAAATATACCAAACTGCGAGGTAGCAATGGACGACATTTTTCTGCATGCACCAACAGAAACTGAACTTCGAAGGCTCACAAAAACGGTCACCGATCGTCTACATAAATCTGGTTTTACGCTAAATAACGATAAATGTGAATACAACAAAAAATTCATGAAATTCTTAGGACACATCTTCACTGAGAGTGGATATAAAGCAGACAGCGATAAAATTGATGCCATCACGCGTCTCAAAGCACCAAAAAACGTCAAGGAGTTGCAGCGCGTATTAGGTATGTTAAATTACCTCGGAAAATTTATTAAAAGTTTGTCTGAGCTTACAGATCCCCTTAGAAGCTTACTACTCAAAGACAATGCTTGGTTCTGGGGTCCTGAACAGGAAAAAGCTTTTAATGCAATTAAAAAAGCCTTAACAACAACACCAGTGCTCGCATATTACCATGCTAACAAGCCAGTGAAATTATCTGTTGACGCTAGTAGTAAATCAATGGGGGCATGTTTGATGCAAGACGATCAGCCAGTCGCATACGCCACGCGTTCCTTTACTAAGTCACAGCAGAATCACCCACAACTTGTAAAAGAAGCAATGGCGATTCGATTTGCCTGCAATAAATTCCATGAGTATGTTTATGGTAAAGACTTAGTAATCGAAACTGACCATAAGCCACTCGAAACTATTTTCAAAAAAGCTTTGCATAACGCACCTTTACGACTACAAAGAATCTTATGGGACATAATTCAATATGCACCGAAAGTAATTTACGTAAAAGGTTGTAAGATACCAATCGCTGACACACTTAGTCGCGACTGCGAGCCAAACGAGGTTGAGGAAGAAGAAGAATATCAAGTCAACGTCACAATATCCAATTCCATGGATGAGCATCTCTATAAGCTTTTCGTCGATGAAACAGAAAAAGATTCGGAGCTACAAATGCTTAAAACTGTCGTTCTTAACGGTTGGCCAGAAACCGGTCAAAAATTACCGGCAGCCATAAAAAAATATGCCACTGTTAAAGATGAAATCATTTTCGACGGTGGGTGTCTGTTTAAAGGCAACAAAATCATAGTCCCGAAATCGCTTATTATAAAGATATTACCACAAATTCATTCCGGACACATAGGCTTAACCAAGGCTTTAGAAAGAGCTCGACAATCCTTATACTGGTATGGGCAATCTACGGATATAAAGAACTTTATAGACAAATGCGCTGCATGCCAGCAAACGCAAAAAGCGAATGTGAAAGAGCCAACCATTATTAAACAAATACCACAATATCCATTTCAAATAGTGTCTTCGGATATTTTTCACTACAAAGGCTACGAGTACTTGTTAATAGCTGATCAGTATTCAGGGTTCTTTGATTTTAAACAACTGAAGTCGTCAACAGCAACGGAAGTCATTATTTGCTTACGACAGTGGTTCTCAACACATGGCATTCCAGAGGTCTTCGAAAGTGATGGCGGCCCGCAGTACACGGCAAATAAATTTAAGGAATTTTCAAAGGAATGGGGATTCAAACATCGATTTTCTTCACCGCATTATCCTAGGTCGAATGGTTTTGCTGAAAGAAACGTGCAAACAGCAAAAAAACCTTCTAAGAAAATGTGACTTAGATGGCTCAGACATTTACAAAGGGCTTCTAACGCTGCGTAATACCGACCGTAATGCTAAATTAAAATCACCAGCTCAGCGTTTATTTAGTCGTGTCACCAGATCAACCATCCCGACAGACATAACCCAACTAATACCAAAGGTAGTGCCAAAGGTTCCGGAAGAACTCTTTCGATTACGTTGCAGCCAAAAACAATATGCAGACCGGGGCGCTAGTCAAAGACCAAAGCTGAAAACAGGTGAAAAAGTATTGCTACAGAAGGGACATCGTGAATGGATACCAGCAAAAGTAATATCCGAAACGCAATATCCCCGTTCCGTTATAGTACAAACTGAAAGCGGAGCGATTTATCGCCGAAACAATCACCACTTGCGCAAAACTGGAGCTACTATTCCCGATGCGGAGACAAGCGCTGAGACACGCGAGACTGACAGCCAGCAAGCCTCCAGTAAACCAATAGAAGAGCTTTCAAACGAACCTGCAGTATCGAGCGGCGAACTAACGCCAAGTATCAGCTCGCCAACTATCCGAACGCGAAGTGGACGCGTGGTAAAGCCGGTACAAAGATATGGACATACTCATACTTACTGATGCTCATGTAATAGTAAATTTTCTTACCTACATATTTACTACTATATTTTTCAATATATCTTTGCATTAACTCACATCTACTTCCTAATACATATCTTTTAAGTTCATAGTTCCTGAATTCTACTTATGCTACTAATCTATGTTGTTTTCATTCAACTAGTATATGGTATGTATGTCCATATGCAAATATGGATATTCACTAGATTTTTTACTGACTATAGTACTTTAAGATTTCACTGTTCACTGAATTATAATACGTTAAGTTGTTCTATTGTAAAAGAAAAAGGATGTCACATAAGTTATCTTACTTATGAACATTCATCAATAAATCAGTTGCATTCCTACAGTCGACAAGAGCACAAGTCTTTTGCATACTCTCAGCATTGTTGTGACAGCTAGTAGGGGGAGAATGGATGGCGATCCACCCCAGCGTGGTGAAAGACACAACAACCGTGCTTTCGAGGAGAATATACAGTCACGTGCAGAAAATATGCAGTCTCCAGCTGGGGTTAACGTCCAGCTACTAGAAGATGTGGCTTTTTCTTTGCCATTTACGAAGATCACAAAAACGGCTAGATCCCCTGAACGCGTATGCGTTCATCATGTGCATCGATCGGCCAAAGACAAAAGCGGTTCAAATGAGCGCAACGCACAAGTGAGCCCTTTAAATAGTGTAGGTGTTAACTCATCTAAAAGTCAGAGTGGGAGTTCGGGTAAATCAAGTCTCACACAAAATAGCGAAAGCAGCGGCGGTCTGTGCGCACTAAACTCCAAAATTGAGGAGCTAAGGAAAATGATGGAGTCGCAAATGCATGTAAACCAACAGATGGCTCATTCCACGGTGACGGGTGTGACATTTCAACTCACATTTTAAGGGTTAATTCTTAAACTGTAATACAAAATTCTTTAAAACGAGTATTTTGTAATAGGTTTCCGAGATATAGGCCCCTATTGCGAGTGTCGATTGGCAGTAGAATAGAAATTTGTCGATCGAGTCGATCATCTTTTATTTTTCTATTGTGTAACTTGATCGATAAAAATTTGTACTATTGTGAATGGTTGACAGAATTGTAAACAGCTGTTTGTTTGTTTACATTTGTTTCTTGAGTGTTTTATTTACATCATTTTTAAAATAATTGCTTTTATTATAAAATTAAAAAAATTGACACAGTTGAAATATGGTTTAGTGATGCGGAAGATGATGCGGAAGCTAATAGATTAGTAGAGTTAGCTAAAGCAAGGAGGGAATTGCGATATTCGTCGGATCCCTTGGACTTTGAAGGTGTATGTACACGTGTGAGTTTTATGAATAGAAGTTGCGTTCCCGATGCTTCACAGTTTTTAGGCTTTACATGATTTGCAGGAAAAGCTGTTTTCCTCATTAATAAACTTTATGGAAGTTTAAGAAATACGGTACGGTTAAGTTTTTTGTACAATGATGTTGGGTTTTTGTGTCCAAACGAGTGACCCGAGTTTAAAAACTTTAACATAACAACATAACAAGCGTATTGAAAGAATTCAACTTTAATTTAAAATAAAGATTTCAAATTTCCGAGCACTAGTCAATTAATAAATTATGCAGTTTTTTTTGTATAAACTTTTGATGTTGGTTCTGCGCAAAAACACTGTGGATGGCGTAGCCGGAGTTATATGCACAAGAAATATTGTATATGTATCTTTTCCAATAGAAGCGGAGCTTCCTACCCTACTCTTTCCGGAAATTCCTTTGCCTATGTCTTCACTCTCCTGCATCAGTACGAACAACCGCGCAAGTTGCCTTTTGTTGCTTATAATTTTTTATCTGTAATTCAGACACATACATGCATATGTATATTTCACAATTTTTTACAACTTCCAGTTCAATTGACTTACTTTTTATCCATTATAGTACCACTTTCTTATGTAAATTTTATAAACGCAAACTCCAACGACTAAAAAACAGCAATAGAAGAATGAGCGATTAAAAAGTATTCACAGTCGCTAATTGAGCGACTAAGCGACACTCGCAATAGCATCGCTAATCGATAATCGCTTAATAGTCGTTTATCTACTGCCAGACATTCGCAATAGGGGTGATACACAATGCCTGGAATAAAAATTCCAAAAACTATTTAATCCGAACGAGTTATCTGAATTTTAGTCACTGTGACGGGTGTGACGAGTACGCAAACCAAATTAACTACTCCTTACTTGCATCAGAGTTTTTCTGCTAATTATGTCTTCTGCTTATGGTTTTAAATAGTTCGTTGTATAGTTAAATAAACATTCTCAACATTTACGCCAAAGTTGCTTGCCGCTATTGGAAATTATAGATTATATGTTCCAAATTCAACTGTGACGGGTGTGACTTGACTTTGTAACGGGTGTGACAAGTTGAGAATGAATACATAAATACACATTATTAGACAACTAAGCTAACTTTATTTCTCAAAAAATCGAATTTTACGAACACTTGATCGGACTCTTCTTCTCCATTGTATGTCTTAGTAATTGTAAAGTACCTTATTTTTAAATAGTATGAGGCTATTACCTGTCAAACCGAGGCCGTTACCTGAAAAAACCGTTTCAGATACTTTTTTTTGCCCTGACAAGCGAAGTAATGATATCTTTTTATCCGTGACAGCATAGCTTAAGTTTTAAGTTCCCATCGCTCGAGCAACATATATTTATGATTAGCTTTATCATCGCTGATCACAAACAGATATATGACACATTTCAGATTAGCTGATAAGTAACGGTAGCAGTCCCTGGCCTAATTTATTGAAGTTTGTCATACTTTAAATTGTGACGGGTGTGACATGTGACGGGCGTGACCAACAAAATTTTTTCGAAAATAAAAGCATATAAATACTTAAAAGCAATTCGCACATATTTCCCTGTGTCATAGCGTTACTTT